TCTCTTCTTAATTGCGTCTTAGTAGCTTTATTGTCTTTCTGGGGTAAAATGATTAAAAAATAGTATTTATTTTTAGTATTTACATTATTCGAATTGTTGTCCTCAATATTCAGGATGTTTCGGTCGTTGTATTCACTGGCCTTCTTCAGGTGATCGGAATTTCGAACACGTTATTTCGTCCACTGGAGTAGATTGTTCTAGTACCACGTGGCATGCCTCTTCAGAATATCTCAGTATCAGTTATTTTCCTTTGAATCAACTTTCCAAGTTATTCTTCAGTTGGGCTCTATGAGAATATATAAAGTATAATTTACATATGGGAATCTATAAAGAATGTTTTCCAAATGAGAATATGTAAAGAATGCTCTCAAAAAGGGAATATAAAAAGAATGGTTTTCAAATGAGAATCTCTAAAGAATGGTTTCCAATTGAGAATATATAAAAGAATGGTTTCCAAATGGGAATTTATAAAGAATGCTTTCTAAAATTGAATCTATAGAGAATGGTTTTCAAAAGGGAATCTATAAAAATGTTTCTCAAAGGGGAATCTATAAAGAAGGGTTTTCCAACTGGGAATCTATCAAGAATAATTTCCAAATGAGAATCTATATAAATAATGCTTTCTATATTGGAATATATAAGGAATGGTTTCCAAACGGGAATCTATAAAGAATGCTTTCTAAATTGGAATCTATGTAGAATGGTTTCCAAATGATAATATATAAAGAATACTTTCCAAATGGAAATCTATAAAGAATGGTTTCCAAATGGGAATATTTAAAGAATGATTTATAAATGAGAATCTATAAATGATGGTTTCCAAATGGGAATCTATAAAGAATGATTTATAAATGAGAATCTATAAAGAATGGTTTCCAAATGATAATATATAAAGAATGCTCTCTAAATGGGAATATATATAGAATGGCTTCTAAATGTGAATCTATGAAGAAATGTTACAAAAGGGAATTTATAAAGAATAATTTATATATGGGAATATATATAGAATACTTTCCAAATGGGAATCTATAAAAAATGATTTCCAAATGGGAATACACAAAAATGATTTCCAAATGTAAATATACAAAGAATTGTTTCCAAATGGGAATATACAAAGAATGGTTTCCAAATGGGAATATACAAAGAATGGTTTCCAAATGGGTCTATACAAATGGTTTCCAAATAAAAATATATAAAGAATGCTTTCTAAATGGGATATATAAAGAATGGTTTCCAAATGAGAATATACTGAACTCACACCTCTCAAGTCACTTGATTACGTTAACCAACGCTTTTATCCCACTGAGAACTAAAATCTAAACCGGTGGACGAAATAAAGGGTTCTGTTTGAAATTCCAATCACCTGAAGAAGGTCGGAACCTACCAAGGCCAAAACGTCTTAAATATCGAAACAAAGATGAAGACAACAGTCCGAACAATATAAATAGTGTAAATAATTAAAATACCTCATCAGAAATATAAACACATCCTGAATAAGGTCGGAACGTCTTACGGCGGAAACATCGTGACTATGACAGCGAAAATGAGACAACAGTCCGAATAATCTAAATAGTGTAAATATATTCATCTCAGAAATATCGACAGAAAATAGGGTTTATTTATTAGTTTACTTTCTTTGTCATATTCTCCAACACTCAGTAACCCCTTCCATCTTAGTTGCTTTATTGCCCTGCTTGGAGTGAAAGGATAAAAAAACGTAGTATTGATTTATTAGTATGAGAAGACGACAGTTGTATTCACACAAACTTTCGGGGGATTGTAGCCAGAAAGAACGAAGACAAGAGAGGAAGTTAATAATTGATTCGACAGATATTTATCAATTACTATTTTCCTCAAGCTTTAAATCACTGATAACCTTAATTTGCTTATCTATTTGATATAAAATCCCTTAAGTTATTCTTAGCAGCCGTATATCTAAAACAAATCGCCAATGATAGACATAGGGCTGTACTTACGCATCATATCTACACGTCTCTCTATCTCTTCGAGCAAGGATATTTACATCCATTAAATAGTGAATGGCAAACGATATCTGCCGTGTTTAGGTCCCGGCATCTCAATGGACATTGGAGCTGCGGGGCGTCAAGACTTCTGCAGTTAAATCAATCAGCTGCCCATGCGAAAATTTACCGAAGATATCCATAAATTGAAACGAAGAACTTAATTAAAAATCTGACCCCACTTTAGATAAATGCTCCGATAGAGTTCCGTGTTTCTATCTATGTATTCATATGAATCAAGTTTGTCAGTATTCTTGAAAGATTATGCAGCGTCATTAAGGATATGAGACTTAACACCAAAAGATTAGCGTTCCAATGTAAAAATAAAGAGCGAAATCAGTGACACGTTAATATAGATGCTTACTTAATTCAACTTGGAACAAGGGATCAATATGGTACCAAGAAATATAGATGCTTACTTAATTCAACTTGGAACAAGGGATCAATATGGTACCAAGAAATATAGATGCTTACTTAATTCAACTTGGAACAAGGGATCAATATGGTACCAAGAAATATAGATGCTTACTTAATTCAACTTGGAACAAGGGATCAATATGGTACCAAGAAATATAGATGCTTACTTAATTCAACTTGGAACAAGGGATCAATATGGTACCAAGAAATATAGATGCTTACTTAATTCAACTTGGAACAAGGGATCAATATGGTACCAAGAAATATAGATGCTTACTTAATTCAACTTGGAACAAGGGATCAATATGGTACCAAGAAAGAATCAAAGACCGGTGGCACTATACCGTAATCCTTTCTGTGCCAGATCTCCATAACGAGGAACATAGCGATTTATGAAACGTAGCTTTGATATGACACAAGGCTGAAAGCATGGAGTACCCAGTGAAGATAGAACTCCCTACTCAGTCGTAAGGGATCTAGCGAGAAAAACTTTCCCATAACGAGCAAGATGATGATTTACTAAGCGTAGCTTAGATGTGGCACAAGGTCGAAAGTATAGAGCACTCAGTGAGGATCGAATTCCCTATTCAGTCTATAATTGATCTAGCGAGACAAGCTTAATAACTATTACACCATGTTGAACTGTCCATCATTTTCTAAAAAAAAGGTCGAAATTTCTTAGAAATGTCGAAATTGTGGAGCACCCAGTAAGGATCGAACTCACTAATCAGTTGTAATGGATCTAACAAGACAAACTTTCTTAACCATTACATCACGTTATTGAAGATACCAAAGTCAGACAACTAAAACAATTTAAACAACTGGGAAGTGTTTTAACAGAAGATGTAAAGTGCAACACTAATATCTGAAGTTGTACTGCGATAGCGAAGTCTGTTTTCCAAGTATAAAGAAACAAGAAAAGCTTCGTTAGAAACAAAGAAAAGATTACTGACCTGTTAAGTAATATCATTCCTCCTCATAATAATGAACTCTGGACAATCTCATGAGAGATGAAGGAGAGACTTGAAGCAAGAGAAATGTGGTTCTACAAAAGGATATTGAAAATACTATGGACTGAACACGTGAGCAACGACGAAGTTTTAGAGAAAATGGAAAAAAGGACACTTATAAATGGTGTTGCAATAAGTTGGAATTAAGTTTAAGCGGCTAATGATTATTTCTTTTTCTTTCAGATTTAACAACTTAAGTCTTTGGCAATTTCAATGATGGAAAGATTAACAATCACACATCATATTAAAGTTATCGAAGCCTATTATGAAAATGGACGTTCAAGCAGAAATGGATTTCGCCCACTTCGCGATTTCTTGGTCAACATAATCGTCTAACCGAGAGTGCAATTGGAAACGGTGTAACGTTGTTGTGGAGAGATTCAATTCCTGCGCGCGATGACGAATAGAGGTGTCTGGATTTTTGGCCACATTCTTGTGCATTGCAGCAATCTTTTCAGCTGAACGGCGTCAAGGAGCACGCAATGGTGTTTTCGGATCTGCCAACGATCCAGTTTGTTTGAATTTACGAACAATTTACCAATTGCTCTTTTGAAACTATAACACGTTGTTTGATTGCTAATCTTTCCATGGTTGAAATTGCCAAAAACTTAAGTTTTTAAATCTGCAAGAAAAAGAAGAAAGCATTATACGCTTAAACTTAATTCACATTTAAAATCGATCCAAGTTATTGGAACACCCTTTACTTAACATCAAAAAGAGAGAGTTGAAAGAAGCTTAGAAAATTTGATACTCACAGAACAGGTTGAGGGTAAGAGGGACGGTTGGGGAATAAGGCATGATCTACGTAGCCAGCTTGAGTAAATGGATGGCGGAACAGAGATTTGGAGGGATAACAGAAAGACAAAATTTATTAAGAACTACAACGATAGGAATTTATGGAGAGCCATGATCGCCAATGCTCTGTAGAGTCATGGTAAATAGAAGAAGAAAAAGGACAAGCTTGAGTGAATGGATAGCAGAAGGTTTAAGAGAGATGAGAAAAAAAAGGCCAAAAATTTGAAGAACAACAGAATACAGGAAATTTTGGACAGCCATGATCGCCAATGTCCTGAAGGGAAATGGTACATAGAAGAAAAATACTTATTTATGCCACAAGACTGGAACTAGGGGTCAAGTAGTGTTGATATTCTGACAAGAATAGTACGAGTTCCATTCAAGATTCACGCTCATTAACTTTTTCTTATCACCAAAAAAAGAAATTTCCCATTTTGAACTTCCTCTCACAATGTTGATAGCAGACACAGAAAAATAAATAGCCGCAAAAACTCTTATAGAAGGTAGTTAAGGAAAGCGAGAAGAAAGGACTAATCATCAACTGCAAGAAGACTGGCTGGATGTTAGTAAAAGGATGAGCCCAAAATGTGAATTGCAAATCGGAGGTACCGAAATCAAACCAATGCACAAATTTAAATAACTGAGAAGTGTTTTAACAGAGGACGGAAAAAGTAACACTTAAATCCGAAATCGTAATAGGATAGGCAAGAAAGCATTCCAAAATCTAAGCAGAGCACCAACAACTAGGAAACATTCACTAGAAACAAAGGAAAGAGAAGATGGGAACAGACTGAGATAGATAGATAGATAGATAGATAGATAGATATGAACAACCCGATATAGATAGATAGATAGATAGATAGATAGATAGATAGATAGATAGATAGATAGATAGATAGATATGAACAACCCGAGATAGATAGATAGATAGATAGATAGATAGATAGATAGATAGAAAGAAAGAAATGGGCAGACAGAGATGAATAGATATATATGAATAGGCAAAGATAGATGGATAGATAGATAGATAGATAGATAGATAGATAGATAGATAGATAGATAGATAGATAGAAATGGACAGACAGAGATGAATAGATATATATGAATAGGCAAAGATAGATAGATAGATAGATAGATATGAACAGATTGAAATACATAGATATGAACAGACATGAAGAGATAAATAAATAAATATAAACAGACAGAGAAGATGGGAACAGACTGAGATAGATAGATAGATAGATAGATAGATAGATAGATAGATAGATAGATAGAAATGAACAGACAGATAGATGAATAGATAGATAGATGAATAGGATAGATAGATAGATAGATAGATAGATAGAAATAGATGAACAGAGATGAATAGATATATATGAATAGGATAGATAGATAGATAGATAGATAGATAGATAGATAGAAATACTAACTTGCTATGTGATATCTCTCCTCCTGTATGGCAGTGAGTGCTGGATGATCTCCACAGACGAAGAAGTCACTTGAAGCAATAAAAATCTGGTTCTACAGAAGAATGCTGAGGATACCCTAGCCCGAACATGCGAGTAACCAGTTTTCGAGAAAAATGGAAACAAAATGTAAACTTCCACTTATCATCAGACAGAGGCAGCTGAGGTTTCTGGGGCATATAACGAGGAAGGAAGGCTTGGAGAATCTGATACTCACGTGACATATCGAGGGCAAGAGGGACAGAGGAAAACAACGCATAACATAATGAGTTTGAGTAAAAGGATGGCGGAACCGGCTTTAGAAAAAATGACATAAAGAGAAATTTTATTAAGAACAACAAGGGACAGGAAGTTGTGGAGAGCCACTATCGACTACATTCTGAGGGGACACGGCACATAAAGAAGAATAAAGAAGAATTTATAAAAATACATCGTTTATTCAATGGAATCTACAATATTATCCGCGGACACAAACTTGACATAAAATATATAAGATATGGAAAAGAATCTGCAAAGAACATCTAAATAAGATAGCAAAAGAAAGCTGTAAGAAAGGACTAACTAGAGTCTGTCTATATTTCTGAGATGAGGTATTATGTACAGTATTTACATTAGTCGGACTATTGTCCTCATCTTTGTCGCCATATTTGTCACAACGTTTCGGCCGTTGTACACTCCGGCCTTCTTCAGGTGGTTGGAATTTCGAACTGAACCCTTTACTTCGATCGCTGGGGTAGACTGTTCTAGTTCCACGTGCCATGTTTGATGGATGTCAGTTATCAGTTATCTCCTGCTAATTTTCCCTCTGAAAGTGAATTGAACTCACACTCTTTGGGTCTGTCACTGGATCTAACCAACGCCTTTATCCACTGTGCCATGTGTCCTGAAGGTGAGTTCAATTCCTGGTTAAGGCAGTGGAGAATTTTCAGAGGGAAAATTAACAGGAGATAACTGATATCCATCAAACGTGGAACTAGAACAGTCTACCCCAGTGATCGAAATAAAGGGTTCAGTTCGAAATTCCAACCACCTGAAGAAGACCGGAGCGTACAACGGCCGAAACGTTGTGACAAATATGGCGACAAAGATGAGGACAATCGTCCGACTAATGTAAATAAAGGACTAACTAATAACTGTAAGAAGCCAAGTTGATGTTCGTTTGATAGTGGGACAGCCCAAGGTGTGAGCAATAAATCAGGTATGTACATTATTTACATTATTCGGAGTGTCATCCTCATCTTCATTGCCATATTCATAACGATCGTTAAGCAAAATCAACCAACGAACCAAAATTAAAGAATTCTTTCGTGACATTAATCCTTATATCCCAGAATTTTGAAAACTTTTCCAAAATATAACTTAAAAAAACCCAAAAAACTAGAACATAAAACACACATCACCGCCTTTAGTAATTATGTCTACACAAATATGTATATGCACACAAGCTGAGTTTTATCTATCATGTATTCAACTGTGAAAGCAAAATGGCATTTTTTTACTTCAAAACCACTGAGAAAATTAAATTTAAGTATTAAATGACTCATAAGGACTTGATGTGTTGTTAAACAAATAAAACAAAATAAAAAAAATACATACAAGTTCAGCTTTCTTTATTTAGTTTTTTAATGATATTTTTCTACATTTTAATACATTGCTTTGTTTCTGGAAGACATTTTTCAGAAGACACAGAAATTTGAAAGTACGGAAGGATTTCTGTGTTATCTCTTATTCCACAACTCAGTTAGAGCTTTGTATTTCGGGTTCAGTTGGAAAAAATCACACCACAAGATCTTAAGCGTACGAGAAGTGATCTTTTCAAAATGAAATGTGCGTTTTTTTTTTCCTTCAGTAGCCGAGTCTTTGAGCTTTAGCATAATTGCTTTCAAGATATCCGAGCCTACAAGTACTTCATCCCTCATTAGATTACAATTTGGAATTGGCAGGAAATGGCAGGTCTTAAATCTTATCAGGATGAAACTAAGTGCTTCTATTCTAGTCTATGAAGAGAGCTTCTTTCCGGCATTCCGGATTCGAGAGTTACCACACTTCTGTTGTTTATATATATCGGGTGTAACAGCAAAATTGTCCAAATTGTTAGATTAAGCTCTGAATTGTCGTATCTTAGAAATGATTAAAGATATCATACCGGAATTCTTCGAGGTCTTTATAACACTACTTGAATCTACTTTGAGCAATAAGGATGTATAATTACATTCCAAGCTTAACAGAGGTATCATGAACGAAAATAACACGTCCATTATTAATTAATCATAGCTAAGGATCGGAAGCTCATGAACAATTAATATAAAGTTCAGATGATCTTCGCCCTCTCTAACCTTCTAACTTTCTGTTTTCATTTTCAAATCTTTTTCCACTGCTCTTTGGACTGTTGGAGCTATAACCTCTCTCTCACGTGACAAACGGCTTATGGATTGAGTTGGATCTTTTCTAATTGATTTCTTTAGCTATAAGTTGAAATGGTTATCCCTCTTCCTGTTGTAACCTCCTGATTCAGTTTTGGTCCTACTGTTCCTACTTTTCTTTTTTAAATTTATTCACCGTTCTCATGAAAGTTCTTGAATGGACTTTGAAGATGGAAACTTGAGTATGAATGCTGGTGCCATTACTGAAGGCATGAATGATCCTTTTCCTCTCATCATTGCTCAGTTAAAAAAGAGAGTGGGGCTGACACAAAACAGTTTTAACAAACAGTTTTTTAGTTATTCTTACGACAAATGGTGTCTAGACGTCTAAACGTCTTATCTGAAAACCTGATAAATTCTCCAAACCCTCTTTCCATTTTAATGTGACCCAAAAATTTCAACTGTCTCTTTCTTTTTTAAGTACAATTCCCAAGAACAGTGCTAGAAACAACACAATGCTGCTGCCACATTTTGGTAAAACATGTAACTGCATTTCTTTGGTGTGTACTTTACATACTCTGATTGACAACACTGGCGGGCTGTAAGTGATACATTCTATGACAGAGGATGGGAGCCATATGAAATTTGACCGCGGACCGTAATTGGCCACTGGGCTGAACTTTAGACATGCCTAGTGTAAATGTTCAAAACATGTCGATTCATTAAGAGTTCAAACGTTCATTGTGACTGGATAAAACCTGGTGATAAAAAGTTTCTGGTTCGGTGTTTGGGTTTCTTCAATTCATCTCTCATTTAGAAAAAACTCGGTATGTGAAACAGTGATCATGAATCCATACTAGTGTAACGGGATCGATGTTGAATTGTTGATATAAGTTACCCTATATTAGTAGTTGATAGAGGATTCCTTTTCTCTTTTTTTATACTGAAAATGAAGTGAATAAAATGTGCGACAACAGAGGAAGCATCTGGTTAGAAACTCTGTAGCTAAATAGTATAGCACGTCAGTCCGATTATAGAATGTTTTAAAATATTCAAAAAACTTCTTGGTATTTTGGAAAGGAAAGGAAAACTATGGAGGGCACTAAGTGATATAAACGTTTGGCAAGTTGTTAAACAAAAGTGAATTAATGTTGTTATTATTGATGACATATTTTAAAGCTATGAGTTATCCATTTTCCTTTGATTTAATGTTGGCTTGAGAAAAGAGCATTTGTATTAAGAAATGAGATATTCAAAAATATCAAGGGCTTATGTTTATATTTTGTATAGTAACTAGTAATGCAGTTTCAAGAACTTTTTCTTAGGTAGTTTCTCTTTTAATAAGTACAGCATTTTTTTAAGATTGAAATTCTGTTTGAAATGATTTCTGCATATAACTAATGCATGGAATAAATGAAAATTTTGGAGACCTTAAGTTCATAGATATGTTTTTTTAATTTCTGGAATTACTTTTTGGTAAATAATAAATCGATATTGTCAATTTTAAGTTTTTAGCAGCTTTTCCAAAAACTGCATTTGTATTTTTGATATTACATTTTAAACATATCTACAACAAAACCAATATATTGTAAGGATCAGCTATTAAAGTTTCCTCGCTACGTTCTCTGTTAAATTACATAAACATAATACTACCCGTCAAAAGTGTAAATTTTCATTTCATTTTTCGTTTCACCTTTTGGAAGTGATGTCTGATGATTCAGGGTACTTTAAAAGGTCTCTGGTGAAATAAACTATTACAATGGAGACTTAATGTGGTCTGTTTTTCTTTAAATTATTAGCTATGAATTTACATTGAGCTCTCAGGATTCCATCCTCCTTGGGACTACCCATACGGATTACTAAGTTTTTCGTCACTGATATATATATATATATATATATATATATATATATATATATATATATATTATATTATTATTATTGTTATTATAGTTGTTTTTGGTTTAACAAGAAAGCATTCCATTACTTTTCCCAAGAGGTCATGCCAATTCACAGATAAGAAAGACAAGGAATCTGTAACGGGATTGGTGCTGAGTATTTTATTGTTAATGTAAGCTACTCCATGTTACATATACTAGTAGCTGATAGAGGATTCCTTTTCTCATGCTATACTGAAAATGAAATGAATAAAACGTGCAACAATAACATAGAATAATAAGACTTTGAGACACGTGTTGAAATGTGTATTTTTATTTTCATGAATGTTATTTACAAAATTCGTTTTGTGTGTGTTAAAAGTTCTCAGGGCTATTGTCTGTTTTTGTTTCTTTAAAATTTTGTCTTGTTTAGAATTGTTTTGGGAATTTCGTGGTTAAAGGAAGCCTTTGAAACCATAAACTCTGGATTTTTAAGGAGCGGATAATATATATAATAATACATCTTGTTCAGTCTGTGTTGTTCTGTTTACTATTGCTCTTTGTGGTGGTAAGGTTATTTTTATAATGATGACATTTCAGATCTTTATTTCTAGAATGATGAAATATTTATTATCATGAATCATCACTGGTGAAATGATTGTTTTTATAATGATGAAATTTCAGATCTTTATTTTTTTTTTCTTATTTTTTTTAAGCATTTCACCCCAAGCAAGGCTGAAGTGCCACTGGTTCGGAAGGCGTTACATAGATTGAAGGTGAGAGAAAAAAAAAACTGTGTATAGGGGGAAGGAAGAAAGGTGTTGTAGAGAAATTTTCACAGTGGAAGCTTGTATTTCACTAAGTCGCTCCTAAATTAGGTTCGACGTACAAAACGTTAGGAACTTGAAATAATAGTTAATGACGCAGCAATCTAGTTGTGGGGCTCATACTTTAATGTCCGACATCGACTGACTCACACAACTCACACAGCACCACTGGCGACTGCTACTACTACTACTTATCATCTGTATAACAAAAGGATAAAAGATGAACGGGGTACATCAGAAGATGGCGATTGATGTTGCATTTAAATTTTTGAAGATTGTAGTTATCAGGAAAACAATTAAACGGGAGGGAGTTCCACAGGCGGGAAGTGCGAGAAAAGAAACTGTTGAAGTAGAAGTGTCGGTTAAATTTAACTATTTCAATGGTAAATAAGTGGGACCTAGATACTAGTCGAGTAGCACGCTTAAATTTATGCAGTTAGGGCACTAGGGGAAAAAAACTTAGCAGAACAGTTGCAGTGAAAATATCTGTAGAAAAGACAGAGTGAAGCCACATCACGTCTCTAAGAAAGTGACAGGAGTCGAGATGCCAAGTCAGGACCGATTACATTGCAGATCCTTCTTCGGATTTTGTCGAGAACTTCGTAATGAACAGCTAGGACACCAAATGATGACATATCAACATCATCATGAATCAGAAGGCTAGTTTCGTTTTTGTGGTATTTAATGTAACAAGCCATTGTTTTTTTAACCCTTTGAGCTGCTAGAATTAGGTCATAGAAGAGATCAGCGTCAAGGCTCCGATCATCTCGTTTAGGGGAAATGCGTCCATAAATTGCCGTATCATCGGCATCTATCACTCACTTTATTTGATAGTAACTAGTTTATTTTAGAAGTTAATATTTATATGCCTGATCATTCCAAGTATCATTAAAATCTCGTTCAGTATCCATCTTGTAAAAGATGACCGGTCGTTGGCGGAAAGAAACGCTAAAGAAAACTAAAAATGTACAGCTCATATACTATTTATTTTATTTTGATCAAACTGACGATATTGATCAGTCGCTACTGGCCGTGTGTCGTTATGGAGATAAAGTAGCAATGCACTATTATTCAATGGATCAATCAAGAGTCGATTATATTTGATGTTTTTATCTAAACCAGGCGAAATGGGATGATGCTTTGGGACAGATAGATAATTAACAAACTGACATTATATATATATATATATATATATATGTGTGTGTGTGTGTGTGTGTGTGTGTGTGTGTGTGTGTGCGTGTGTGTGAAAATATATAGAAAATAGGAAAGAATTCGTTAGGTAAATAATCCAAAGTTCTTTAGTATTTTTGTTATTATTTTTTTTTTTAAGTGCTCGATACAAAGGTAGAGCATAAATATAATTATTTATTTAAAAATATGATTCCAACACGCTACATACGAGTTCTCATGTTTCAAAACAAGAGCCGAAAACTTCAATGCAATTATTTGAATTAAATTGAATTAAAGTAAGCTCTGTTCCATCTTCAAGCGAAATTTTTTTTTGAATAACTTATTTCTGAAATTTACGTGTTTTAATAACATATTCATTATTGAAATCAAAATTTCCATGGTAACGGCTAGAGCGATTGATTAAATAGAAAGGGGTGTGAGGTGTTAATAATTTGTATCGGTATAGAGTTACATTCATAGATGTCAAGTCAGGGTAAGGTTGGGATGTCTAAATTTAAAACGGAAGATGTTTTCGCCTAGTCTGGTTTACGTGTCTATGAAGATTTATTTATTTATTTATTTTATTTTTTTCTGAAAGGGTTTTGTGTATATAAAAAAAACTGCCGTAACATTTGTTTTT